TTGCACACTCAGCAGCTGAGCCGTGCGGCTGAAAGGCCGGCATTAGCCTGGTGCTTTGTGGAGGCTCCAGAGGACTATTGTCCCCGGAGCTGGGAAAACTGCTGAGTCATCAGTACGGTGGTCGTACACAGTGGTCCACACACACCGCGACAACACGGTGGTAATGCACTGACATGACAGTTTGATGGTGTGGCAGGACAATGGACACATTCTTGGGGCTAATCCCTGCTCTCCTCACCCCTCCTCACCCCCCTCACCCTCCTCACTCTCTCCCTGTGCTGTAAATCAGACCTACTGTAGGTCAATTCTCTTAAAAAACTAAACTAAAACATATAATTTTTTTTCTTATTACTGGAACAGACAAAACATAACAATTTATAGAAATAAAACTTATTTAAATATTAAGTGTAAAAAGGACCATAGGAAATGATGATTTTATTGTGATCAAAGTTGTCTCTCAGTATTGTTGTACATCCAGTGAAGCCTGTTGTCGTCCTGCTGTACAAATTAAGTACTGCACACACAGCTACAGAACAAAGGATTTTTTTTCTCATTCCATTTTTTTGTATTTCTTTTTTGGCCAGTGTGACATTTTTGTTTTATTATAGGAGCTTGTCACATTTTTTCTCTACGTTTGTTTTTGTTATTAGAACCAACCTAAACCATTTATTAACACAATAATAATATTAATAATAATAATATTAATAATAGCACGTTTATTTACTTTACAGCTGAACACACAGCAGTCAAACAACACCGTCCAGTGTGTGTGTTCTTGGTGTAAACCCTTGTTAAACACAGTCGTGTCGACCTGTGAGAGACGACGGAACAACAGAATTTTCTCCTTGGTCTCAAATCCATTAGAAACAGAGAATATTTATTTTAGTTTCTTCTTCATTTTCCAGTTCAACCGCTGAGTTACTGTTATTATTGTATGAGCTGTTTCTGTAAATGGCGTTTTGTTGACGTCAGTCAGTATTTCCGCGGTGTTTTTCCAGTTCCCGGATCCACTTTCCTTCTTCTTTGCTGACATCTAGTGGCAAAGTTGTGAAGTGCGCATAGGGTGCTCGAGTGCTGTAAAACTGAGTTGTTAGGTTTTCTACCTCTAAATGTCGGATTAATGATTTATATTTATATGAAAAAAAATTATTTAAAAAATAGTAAATAATGAAGAACACGTGGTGGATGTTTATAAACCAGGCTGGTGTTTCTGAGTGGGTGGAGAATCGGGGTCACACCTGTGGGCTGTTTACTTTGTTATTAAGCCATTCATTGTCCTTCTCTCTTTCTCTCTCTCTCTCTGTGTATGTGTGTGAGTACGAACCCCCCCAGCCCCCACCCCTGTCCTCTGAGCAGGTGAGGTGCAGGTGAAACAACAAGATTCTATAGACACAGATGTTCCACCTGTGGCACTGTGCGACGTATGCCTGCGGTGTGTGTGTGTATTGGTGTGTGTGTGTGTTGCACCCTCACCTTTTCATTTACCTCCACACCCCATCACTAACTGACTAGAATAAAGCCTGACATTTGAAAAGCTTTCAGGGTTTGAAGGACTTCCTTCAGTTTCCTCACATCATCCACGTCTGTGATGAAGACAAAATAAAAACCTAAGAACCTGACAATGGGACATCAGTGCAGCAGTGTGTGTGTGTGCGTGTGTGTGGCATGTTCCAGTAAGAAGTTATCTTTGGACACACACAGACACACACTCCCTTTTAAATTTCCCTTTTAAATGTAGAGCTGAGAATTTGCATGTTTTAAGGCTGCGTCACCTGCACAGAACTACAACAATAAATACAGACTTTGGACTTTGTCAGGGTGAAAAGGTAGTTATTTTTATTTACTGTTTATGCTCATAAAATAAATGATTAAAAAAGAATCCAAATGAATGGACAAATGTATTCATGTTAGAGCCAAATACTGCAGTAGAGTGGTGTGGAGTACACAGTATGTATCAAATATTCACAGCAGTGAGGTTGAGGACTAGGGCTTTAGCAAAGTTGTTTTTGTTCTTGACATTTTTCCATGTGAATAATTCTATCATTTGGATTGGACACAAACAAAAACAGTGACAACTACTACGATTAATCACGATGAATTTCATGTGATGACAGTAAAAATCCTTTGACTTACAGCACATGAATGGGTTAATGTGAAACCCTGAACATTGGCAGTGTCGTCATCACCTCCTTCTTCTTCTTGTTCTTTTTCTGATCTAAACAAAGTTTGTAAAATAATTTTTGTCACAACGAACAGGAAGTGATGATGTCACTGCTGACTTGTTTTTTGGGTTAATGGGAGTTTAAATATTTGATATATCCACCAACTGATCTTCACCACCACACACACACACACACCATCATCATCATCATCATCATCATCATCATCAATACACATCCACTGACAAACAATCTGGTCTGCATAAGTGCTGGCGTTCAGGTGGAAGGTTACCACGGAGACTAATCCAGGCGAGGATGGTGGAGCGGGACATCTGCTCTTATCACCTGTGTTCGTCTCCACTGACCTCCGTGTCCTGTTTCCTCAGACACCGGCAGCTGGAGCCACACGCTGTAGAGGCTGGGAAAGGAATAGAAATCTTCAAAGTTAAAAAAGACAAATGAACCAAACCACAGTGAATAATCAGAGTCGTTTAAAAAGTAAATCTTAAAAGAAAGTTATAAAAGACAAATGAACAAAACCACAGTGAATAATCAGAGTCGTTTCTGATATAAAATATTTCAATCTGTCCAGTGGAGTAACTGCTTTACTTGAACCACACAGATACATTTGGACTTATTTTTTGGGTTAGAACTCAAACATTAGCTGCTGATTGGTGAGGATTTTTTTCATTCAACCCTGTAGGTTTTCACAGCTTCAGAAACATTGACAATAGATTCAGAATAAACAGGAGCAGGACCAGGCCTGGGGCATTTGCATGACTCCATTTTATTTTATCAGTAACTGCCAGTGGAAACAGCACACAGCCTACAGGCAACACACACACACACACACACCCTTTAAACAAGACTTTCTCCAGTATTTACCATCAACAGTTTGACAGACGCCACAAATGTAATAACCTGGTCTTTGTGCAGAACCAGTGTGGTTCTAATGATGCTCCTCCAGCAGAGGCTCATTGGTTCACTAAGAGGGCATCATGGGTAAAAGGCAGACAGTGGTCAGTCGACCTGTGGTTTTCATTTCTTCATGGTGACTGATATTAAAACTCTGGTTTCAGTGTCATCAGACCTGTGGCTCCATGATTCAGACCAGGTGCCGAACCGGTTTCCAATTAAATAATTTCACTGCAGATAACACGGCTTTGTGTTCGTGCCTCGTCAAACAGAACATGGCCGGCAGCAGTCAAACAGGCTGCAGCAGCAGTAACAACAAGTCAGGACAGTCGTTTCAAACTGGGACAGGGTGCAGCAGCAGTAACAGCGGCAGCAGCAGTAACAGCAGGAGTAACAGCAGCAGCAGCAGAAACAGCAGCACCAGCAGCAGGAGGAGCACCAGCAGTAACAGCAGCAATAACAGCAGCAGCAGTAGCAGTAACAGCAGCAGCAACAACACCAGCAGCAGCAGTAACACAAGCAGCAACAACAGCAGCAACAACAGCAGCAACAACAGCAGCAGCAGTAAGAGCGGGAGCAGCAGCAGCAGCAGAAACAGCAGCAGTAACAGCAGTAACAGCAGCAATAACAGCAGCAGTAACAGTAACAGCAGTAACAACCAGTCAGGACAGTCGGTTCAAACTGGGACAGGGTGCAGCAGCAGTAACAGCGGCAGCAGCAGTAACAGCAACAGCAGCAACAACAGCAGCAACAACAGCAGCAGCAGTAAGAGCGGGAGCAGCAGCAGCAGCAGAAACAGCAGCACCAGCAGCAGCAGCAGTAAGAGCGGGAGCAGCAGCAGCAGCAGCAGGACAGGGAGCAGCAGCAGCAACAGCAGCACCAGCAGCAGCAGAAACAGCAGCAGTAACAGTAACAGCAGCAGCAATAACAGCAGCAGTAACAGCAGGAGTAACAGCAGCAGCAGGAACAGCAGCAGCAGCAGGAACAGCAGTAACAACCAGACAGGACAGTCGATTCAAACTGGGACAGGGGGGACAGGGTAACCAGGATACTGAGGAGTGTGAGCTCCACCATCCTCTGGCTTTAAACAAATATTGACTAACAGCACCTCACGCAGAGGCAAATATATACTCTCAGGTACAGAAAGACATGCAGTACTGGCTTTGCCTTGTACTCTGTTGTACTGCAGTACTGGTGCTGTCCCAGAGGGGGTCCAGTGTCTTTTTAGCTGTTTCTTCTGGTGTGAAACAGGTTGTGTCTACATTTATGTCCCCCCAAAAAAAGAAGGAAAGAGTAAAAGAGTTGTTTGGTGTGAAGTCACTGTTTGTACACAGGAAACAGAACATTAAAAAAGACAAAACAAATATGTTTGTTGTTTAATCACAGCTTTTTAATCTGGTGTAAATATGGACGGTACATTTATAAAAAAATATATTGTTTAACATTTTTGTATATATGTAGATTAGTATTTATATATTTCTGTATTTTATATATTTATATATTGTATCTAAATATTTCTGTTGTTACTATTTTTATATTATATGGACAGAACCTCTGTCCTTATGTTGCTCCAACATGTCAATCATCTCTAATCTAATCTAATCTAATGCTTTCATGAAAAATTCTATTTAAAAAATATGACGACGTTTTGTTTCTGCACTGAAAGAGTGCAACTTTTTTTGTTTAATTTAATCTGAAAGAATAAATGTTTTAGACAAACGACAAAAAAAAAAAAAAAAAGAACAGGAAGTTCAGACTCAGACATTTTCACCGTAACTGGTTGAATGTTATATAGCAGTAATAAATGAGGCTGTGGTTCAACATCAGGCTCACAGTGACAGATGGCCCATATCAGATGTCTGCTCCGTGTGTGTGTGTGTGTGTGTGTAATGTTTAGTTAATGATTAACATGTCCTCCCATTAAGCCCATCTCTCCGATCGCTGCTCGTCCACAGCTTCACCTGATGATGTCAGAGACGGACGGTCATAAATAGGTCCCAGTGGAAACTACGTATGTGACGGGGGGGGGGGTCGGGGGGGGGTCGGGGGGGGGGGACCTGAGGCATGTCAGTCTCTGTGTGGGGGCAGCTTTAGATATGGTATCAAGGTAGGGTAATTCAAATGATCCTGAGGGGAACTACCCCCTAGTGGAACTTCTGTGGAACTACCTCCCTGGTTCCTGTGGTTGGTGTTAATCAGCAGAGAACAGTTCTGCCTGAACATATGGACAAACGTGAGACCGGAGTTTGTCTTCGTTCGTCTTTTCTCACTGATTTAATGAAATGAAGGTTTTTGTTACACATTAGCGCCACCTTCCTACATCAGTCTCTGGAAACCAGGTTATTTTTGGCCTCCATGACAGGACTTCCTGTGAGATGTTCCACCTCTGGTCCCAGAGACTCCTTCACTTCTTCAGGGTTTTCCCAGCACTGAAAAAACTGGAGATGTTTCGTGGATCGGAGGTGGAACAACTGCAGGGAAATCACTTAAACCTGGATTAGTCAGATCAAACCTACAGGTCGAGGAAGGAACTGCTCTGGGCAGACCGTCCGACTTCACCTGTATGCAAATGAGTTCCTGTCCTCATTGTGATGTAGTCGACACCTGCTGCTTCACTCTGCTGCTCTTTTATTTCTGTCTGCTCACAGCGTTTATTCATGGAAAATAGCAAATAAGTAAATAAAACTAAATCAGACTAATAACTTCCCGTCATTGGACTGAACAGCGGCTCCAAAACTGGACTGAAACGCAAACTTTCTGTCTTTTCCCAGATGCTAATCCGTACCTGCGTAACGCGAGCCGAACGAACAAAACTTCATCTTCAGGTATTGTGCGTGTGGCTCAACGTGAGGCAAATACAGACAGGGAAAAGTCACAGACACGACGACAGTCTTTACCCCCGGTCCTCAGTCAGACAGACAGACAGACAGACAGACTGGACCTGACGGTCCGGAGCCCAACAGCTGTCAGTCAAAGCTCGTGGACGGAGACCTGAAAACATCAGAACAGGTTTGAAAGTGAACTCTGGTCAGAATTAATTTGAGGTTCTGTAAAGAAAGAACAGTTTTTTTCTCCTACCTTTAGAAAAACAAAAGAAAAGAAAAAAAAACAGAAATCTGGTGCAAAGGCGCGGCGGCGGTCAACTCTGAGCACCTGTGACGCACGGCGTGTGTGCGGTTTGTGACAGGTATACGTCTTTTATACTCTCTCTTTCTCTCTCTCTCTCCCGTCCTCTCTCTCTCCCTCCCTCTCTCTCCTCCTCTTCCTCTCCCTCTCCCTCACCCTCCCTCTCCCCTCCCCCTCCTAGAGCACATTTGGGAGAAGAGCCGACCTCGGTGTAGAACAGACACCTGTCGCTTGGTGCGTTGCTCTAATCCAATATTGACATAAAGGGGGGGAGGGTAGAGAGAGCAAGGAGAGAGAGAGAGAGAGAGAGAGAGCACATTTGAACCATACCCACCCCTGCCTCCCTCCCTTCCTTCCTTCCCCCCTTCCTCCCTCCCTCCCTCCTCTGTGCCGGGCAACGTGTCTGACCCCTGGGCTTCCACACAGACTCGTTGACGTCCCTACCTGTCCACTCTCTCTGTCCCTCTGCCGCTGCTGTCTCCACATTTCCATATCATGGCCTGGATGCAAATGAGCGTGAGCTGCGGAGTGACTCACCCAGTTCAACCACTCTGACAGAAAAGCTCTTTGAATCCGTTGATAATGGTTTTCAGGAGGGAGGGGGGCGGGGTGAGGGGGGGGCCGAGGGTTAGGCTGAGGCTGAGGACAGGTGCCTACACTGGACATCAGCAGACGAAACAAAATAAAATACTTCTAGGAGTAGTTTTAAATCACTATACTTTTTACTTTTACTGGAGTAGATTTATGAAGAAACAGTACTGTTACTTCACTACGTTAGGCCTGACGGAGCTCGTTACTGGTTACAGAGATACTGGATGAAGCTTTAGCCATATTCTCTATTCTCTATAGATCTATGATCCGGTATCTCTACTTTTATTTCGTCAGAGAGTGACGTCCACCCAAGGCTTTATCGCGCGACTGTGACTGACCAATGAAATGTAGCCCTTGCTGTGCAGTCTCGTCACGCGATCATGCTGGATCTCGGTGGCGGGACGGATTAGTTTAGCGGTCATTATCCACCCAAACAGACGGATATTTCAACTTTCAAAAGCCCATCGTCCAACCGGAGGAAACATGTTACGATAAGTTTGACCTACAAATCTTTCTTTTCTTTTTGCTGTGGATAGGCGAATGTTTGTCCTGTTAGGCTACATGAATACTCTGTGCTGAGCTCGATCTGCTCGTAGCCTCAAACACGTGTTTCTATCCACAGGTCCAGAGGTTTGGAAGTTTTTGTTACTTTGTAATTTAAGTTATTTTCTTAATATTTAATTCTTAATTTAATTTTTATTTCATTGATTTATATTTTTTATTGGGGGGGGGTTGGTACTGTGCAGTGTGATGTGGGTGGAGGCTGCTGCCCCCGCGACCCGGTAATGGATAAGCAGAAGAAAATGGATGGATGGATGATTGAATAGACGTTAAAAAAATCAATCTAAAAAATAAATGTTACTCAACAGTTACTCAGTACTTGAGTAGTTTTACCATGTAGTTTTTTACTCTTACTCAAGTAATTATTTAGATGACTACTTGTTACTTCCACTTGAATAATATTATTTTGAAGTAACAGTACTTTTACTTAAGTACAATTTTTGGCTACTCTACCCACTGCTGTAATGGTTGAATGATAACAAGCCTCCTGTCACTAGGTGGCAGCAGTGGTTTGTACAGATAGAAATATACACGTTATCAGTTTCTCAATAGTACTTTAATTCGTGGGGGGGTGAGTCTGGGGGTGAGGGGTTAATTGAGAATCCCTGGTTTAAGGTCACAGGTCACACAGACTGAGGCGGAGTCAGGAGGTAGACATCACTGAGTCTGGCTCATATTACAGTAGTATGGAGGGGGGGCTTTATCTTTATTTCATTCACTAAGGAATTAATTATGATTGTTAAAACAATGAATCAGCAGTTAGCTGTGGATTTATCCTGATTAATTGTGAACATAATTAACCATGCTGGTCGGACACAAGCCGGAGCGCTGACCTGAGGTTGACCTTGGTGCCGTCATCTGTTTGGTATTTTTTATAAAAGTCGTTACTAAGAGTGCTCAGTGGCAGACTAGAAACCAAGAAATTGCGTAATTTAAATATTAATTGAATAAATACTCGTTAGATTTCAGATTTGCTAACACTGCTCCACTGAGTTTGTGACAAACATTTCCTGTATTTTTAGTTTCTCATTTCAGATGATCCTGTTTTTTTTTGTTCTTTGATTAAAATAAAGCATGTCCTGTTCAGATCTTTAAATAATAATTTTACACTGGATATTTAAACCATGAAGTCAAATCCTAATTATAAACTACAATAAAAACTCTCACTTAATAACAAAAAAAATCTTCTTGTAGTAGAATTATACTCTTTATTGAAGTAAAATAAAAGTTATAACATTGAGGAAACAAAAAGTCTTTTTTCCGTGAAGCCAGTGATGAACGCTGACTGTTACAGCTTCAGGACACTGTTGACAAACTGTTCCTTTAAAGGGGAGGGGTTTGTTTGACTTGTTCTCTGAGCTCCTGTTACTCTAATACCACTGACTTATTTGTTGGTTTTATGATGACGGTGGGCTGACTCCTCAGGATGAACACACGGTTCACAAACTGGGAAATGATGTAAGAGAAATTATTTAGAAATTGTTCTGGGGCAGACTCTAAATGTTAGAGATACCCCGCTGTCAAAATAAAAGCCCAGATCATCTTGTTTTTGGGGCGTTTAGATTACGAAGAAGTTAAGAAGCAGAAACAACACTCCTTTCCAGTTTTACAGTTCAATGAAAACTAAATGCAGACATGCAGTACTGTGTAAAGGAAGAGTTGAAGAACAGAACTCAGATGATGATGAGGGTCTATATATATCGTACCATTGATGCAAAAGAATCTGTATTTCCACAAATAACATTTCATTTGCACATCTATATTTATTTTAACACAAATTTTGTTATTCTAATTATTTTACCATAATCATTAACCCATGATCTTATTCATATCTCTTCCTGACACAGTCTCTTCTTGTACGCCTCCCAGCCCGACCTCCTGTACGACTCTGCGGCTTTCAGCCTATTAGCAGCCGTCAATACTCCTCGTCCCACGATGATGACATCAGAGCCTTTCACGTGGATGACGTCCTCCGGGCTGGTGTACTGCTGGCCCAAGGCGTCAGCTGTGGAAGGGAGAAGACGGAGGTGAGCCGGAGCCCGCAGGTTATTTGTTCAACGACAGCACCACCCAGTGTTAACATGAGTCACGACAACAAAGGAAAAGGTAAGAAAAGCCTCTGGTCTTTTTACACAAGGAGTTTAACAGACGTGTTGTACTTGTTTTTGTTTCCAGGCCAACATGACTTTAAAAAAAAAAACGAACGACGGAAAATGAACAGAACAAGAACCGTCAAAAATCATGCGTTCATTCATTTATGGAATCACATTTTGGATGCATTTGGACTGAATGGCGCTCACTGTACATCCCATAATTTCACTGTGTTTAATACAGCAGATGGACACACACTGAATGCTGTTATTGGTCGTTCTGTTACAGAAATATAAAAGAAACGTCGTCTGTCATATTTAGTGATTGCTGAGCAGCTCGATTAGTCACGATTAAGCCACAGCTATCCTGTGCTTAATAAAATAAAAAATGTAAACATTCGATTCACCTGCAGACTGCATCTGAACACCAGGAGTCATGTGGATGAACTCTGGCCTGTTGGTGACCTTTGACCCACAGATAAAACCCATCACGAAATCCGAATGCTCCTCCGCCATCTTCACCTGTGAGGACAGGAAACGGAAAACGGATGACTCTCAGGCCAAACTCGAGGCGACCAGACGTCACCGAGGACCCAAACACTCACCGCAGCCTTGGTGTATTCTCCGGTGGCCAGCGACCCCTGAGAACTCATCTGTGCGATGAGCAAACAGCCTCGACCCAGAGGTTTTCCCACAGCACTCAGACCCTGGACCACCCCTGGACCTGGCACCACATGAGCGTTCACAATGTGGGCCCAGGATGAGATGTGGTATGTACCACCTGGAACACAACAGGCAAATGAAGCACAATACTCAGGATTCTAACATGACAAGATGTTTTTGTGGCTTCACCTTTATACTGATGAATCACGGTGTTTCCGATGTCGGCAAACTTTCGATCTTCAAAGATGAGAAAGTTGTGTTGTTCAGCCAGAGCCTGTAGTTTCTGGGCAAAGTCTTCTGAGAAGTCCTGTCAGCGGATGATCACAGTTAGCTAAAACATCTACCCTAAAACTAGTTTTGTCAAAAACTAATTCTGGTTCTCCTGGTCCCTCCTACCTCCAGGATGTCTACGTGTGTCTTCAGCATGCAGATTTGGGGGCCGAGCGTGTCTGCCAGCTGAAGGAGCTCCTCGCTGCTGGTCACGTCGGCGGCCACACAGAGGTTGGACGTCTTCTCTTCCATGACGCTGAGCAGCTTTGACGCCACAGGGTGAACGTCTGCAGACAGAGAGAAGACGACAGAGGAGACGTATTTGGCAGGTAACAGACATTAAACCTACAAACGGATGTTTAGAGACTGGTTTACTTGGTAGTTTGGCTCTGTCTGCGTAGCTCAGCTCGGACGCCGCTCTAATACAAGGCTTTTTAATGGGAACGTCAGAGCTGCTCATCTTAGAGCTGAAAGAGTAAAGTTAATAACGTTAGATACTAAACTGAACTGCAGTCCAACTTAAAGATGCACTGATTGATGACTAGGTTGTTTGTACCTGAAGGTATTATTGGCCAGAATGAATTCTCTGACATTCTGTGCAGTCTTGGCATCGATGCGTCCAGCCGTCTGCAGCACGTTAAGCAGGATGGTCATGGAGATAATTGGTTGGAGTCTGATTCCCTTGGATGCCAACATCTGCTTCCCACCTTGTTCTCTGTCCATGAGAACAATGGCATCTGTCACCTAATCAGAATTGACAAAAGTCAAGATTCCTTCCTCTGTGTTTCTGTGATCAAATCAATAGTATACCAATAGTACGGCACCACCTTGAGTCCTTCTTTGTGCAGCACAACGGCCGTCTCCATGATGCTGCTGCCACTGGTCACTGTGTCCTCGATGATCAGGCAGGTGTCCCCCTCACGGAATGAGCCCTCCACCGTGCGCTTGGTTCCTAACAGGAAGTGTTCAAGAAGCATAATGTGCATTAAAAAAAAAGGAAAGGAAGAGGCCAGTGAGAACAAAAAATGAATTTTAAAGATAAAGAAAAACCTGTAGAATTTGATTGAAATAACACACCGAGAGGCTGTGTCTCCACTCTGAGGCCTTTTTAAGGAGAGAGGCTGCACTGACTCAGTGTCTCCACTCTGAGGCCTTTTTAAGGCATACGTTGTTAACCCGTTTATTTTGAGATGATTTAAAAATAAGTTAACATCCAAAGGACAGAGGGTTGTTTACAGCAGATAAAGAGGAAGATGACATTGGTTTTTTTATCATCGCCGCGGGGGAGTGGGGGGGGGGGCAGGATGTCACGGTAATCATCAGAGGAGCACAACTCAGAGTTAGAATGGTTTGTAGGGAGTAAAGTCCAGTGCTACATAATGAAGGCCCTGCCTTTGGTAACCTGCGTATGTTGGTCACAAGATGGCGCAGTCTTACAGTTCAAGTCTACTTTCAAATGTCAGCACTCACCGTAGTCCTTTGCTTCTTTCCGTCTTATGAGCATGGGCAGTAGGTTCTGTGAGCAGATGATTGTGGACAGAGGCGGGGCAGTGTAAGGAGCCCCACACAGAGAGTCAAACTGCAGCCCTTCTTTTAGTGCACGCTGGTGAATTAGACTGGAGACCTAATCATTAAAAAAAAAAATTGTGGAAGAAAGTGGAAAATTGTACTGAACATTGCATGAATCTACCAAACACTGTTAGATCTGTTTTTATTTTAGTGTTTTAAATTTGTGAACAGAAGTCCAAATATTTATTTACAGTATAATTGTATAATAAAAAAACATTTACATATTATACATTATTTATAGATTATTTATAAAGAAAAAAGTTATTTTTAACGACAAAGAAAACTAGACCCACGTGTTACACACGTGTTCTTCTATCAGACATCATAGCCTCCGCCCAGAGACAGCTATATCTTTGGCACTCGAACAAATTCTCAAAAAGAATAAATACACAAACAAGGATTCACTAATATATTTTTGACTTGGCTGGAAAACGAAAGAGACATCCGATTGGCTAGGAAAAAAACGCATTTTTGTATCTGTGCCGCGCTAGACGAGTCTCGAAAATCCTTGTTTGTGTATTTATTCTTTTTGAGACTGTTCTATCTACATAGATATTACACCCTAACCCTCAAGGTAACAGTTTCTTTAACAGTTTATGTAACAGAGTTTCTATTTGTATTTCAGCTACGATTCCCGGACGTTAGCGACATGTGCTTACCTCGTTCATGAGCACGGGGTGGGACACCAGGACTCTCAGGTCAATGTAAATGGGGGCCACC